AAATATTGGCATGGTAACACTGGGAGATCCTAGAAGTGATCATGTAAAATATAAAAAATATTGGCATGGTAACACTGGGAGATCCTAGAAGTGATCATGTAAAATATAAAAAATATTGGCATGGTAACACTGGGAGATCCTAGAAGTGATCATGTAAAATAAATAAGAAACTGACATGGTAACACTGGGAGATCCTAGAAGTGATCATGTAAAATAAACAAGAAAACTGACATGGTAACACTGGGAGATCCTAGAAGTGATCATGTAAAATAAACAAGAAAACTGACATGGTAGCACTGGGAGATCCTAGAAGTGATCATGTAAAATATAAAAAACTGACATGGTAGCACTGGGAGATCCTAGAAGTGATCATGTAAAATATAAAAATACTGACATGGTAACACTCGGAGATCCTAGAAGTGATCATGTAAAATATAAAAAAAAACAAATTAAAAAACTAGCACTGCAAAACAGTCAATTATAAAATTTCACAAAACTCAGCGATATTTACTTTACGTCCATGGTCTGTCTCACACCTTGTTATCGCTCAGCTGGTCAAGTCTTTTCCCCGGCCTTTCTCACACCTGATACACGTGTAAATAAGCTATGAAACCTTCAACCAAAGTTTGTACACGTGTAGACAAGCTGTGAAACCTTCAAACAAAGTTTGTACACGTGTAGATAAGCTATGAAACCTTCAACCAAAGTTTGTACACGTGTAGACAAGCTGTGAAACCTTCAACCAAAGTTTGTACACGTGTAGACAAGCTGTGAAACCTTCAACCAAAGTTTGTACACGTGTAGACAAGCTGTGAAACCTTCAAACAAAGTTTGTACACGTGTAGACAAGCTTTGAAACCTTCAACCAAAGTTTGTACACGTGTAGATAAGCTATGAAACCTTTTCAACCAAAGTTTGTACACGTGTAGACAAGCTGTGAAACCTTCTTATTATTTTTTGTCATAACGATATTATATTTTGGTACATGTGAACCTAATGTACACCAAGAAATCCACGTATTTTTTTATCTGGGCAGTTTCAATAACTGTAAAGTCACGGTCACTGCTCTACCTTATGTGACTTCATATCCAAATATTCTTTAAAAGTACGTTTGAATAATTAGATTGGATCAAATGAGGACTGAAAATACAATAATAAATGAGATGACGCGAGCAGCATAAGCTGTAGACGGAATTCTGAGGCATAAGCTGTAGACGGAATTTTGAAACATAAGGTCTAGACGGAATGCTGAAACATAAGCTGTAGACGGAATTCTGAAACATAAGCTGTAGACGGAATGCTGAGACATAAGCTGTAGACGGAATTATGAAACATATGCTATAGACGGAATTTTGAAACATACGCTGTAGACGGAACTTGAAACATAAGCTGTAGACGGAATGCTGAGACATAAGCTGTAGACGGAATTATGAAACATATGCTATAGACGGAATTTTGAAACATAAGCTGTAGACGGAATGCTGAAACATAAGCTGTAGACGGAATGCTGAGACATAAGCTGTAGACGAAACTCTGAGGCATAAGCTGTAGACAGAACTCTGAAACATAAGCTGTAGACGGAATGCTGAGACATAAGCTGTAGACGGAACTCTGAGACATAAGCTGTAGACGGAATTCTGAGACATAAGCTGTAGACGAAACTCTGAAACATAAGCTGTAGACGGAATTTTGAAACGTAAGTCGCTGATAGAATTCTGCCGTTTTAATCTCATACCTCGGGAACTGTTAATAAACACAACTGATTGTGTATTTTATCGGCAGACATAAAGTTAGCTACAGGTTTTACATACAGATGACGTGTATGTAAGTGTCTTTATTTTAACACAAAACTTTAACAACACGCATGACAGAATTAAAGATAAAACTACGTTAACTTTTAACACTTTTAACGGAATAGGTCAAGCGTGCCCGAATTGTGAACCCAATAATTCTTTGTTCGTGTCCTATTGCCTCCAAAACGCGCTCCGCACTTTAAGGCCGTCTTATAAGAGAGGCGGTCAAATCCCACTATTCGTGTAGATAAAAAGTACTCCACTTGTTGGCGATGGGTGCTGTTAACTAGTTACCTTTTCTCTGTTCTAGAACTGACGTGGCCTAGCGGATAACGAGCTGGACTGTGAGTCATGAGCTTCAAGTTTCGCGTCCCGTTGACGTAAAAACGCGCTCCGAACTTCGGTTGGGATGCGTTTTAAAGAGTGACTTTGAAACACTACTGTTCAACTAAAAAAATAGCCCAAGAGTCATGTTTTGTTCGATTTTTTTATCAATAAAAACTTGTAAGTTTGTATGTAAAGAGCGGTGTTGTAACCATTTCCGTTCTTTTAGTGTGATTTTACTTACTGCGTCTCTTGAGTACGAAAACAAGAAATCCATACTCTCGTGGAAGCGTACATCAATCACAGCCGTCACGTGACCTTTCAAGATGGCTGTCGCCCTGCTGGACACGTACGGGTTCCATAATCGTACGAGAAAGTCCGGACTTCCTGTAGCTAAAACACCGAGTCGCCGAGTGTAATCGAAACATCTTACTCCCTGTGGAAACGTCAGAAAAACATGAAGTCAGTAATTTTTTTAAGAATTTCAAATCAGAAGTAAACTACGTAGATGAGAAATAAAATACTTTAAAAGTTACAGACATCTTGTTGAATACATTCCTGTGTAAAAAAACTAATTAGAAATACTTGTATCACGAATAAATACACCAGAGAGCTAACACTCGCTGTTAACTACGCTTTCGTCCATAATCCAAATAATACTTCACGAAGTACGATCATCATAGGAAATTTAACTCTGGCTTGACGTAGTTCTTATCTTATACAGGGTTTGAACACCGATAGTACAGAAACTGTTCCAAAGCCAGTGTTCGATACTCATCCTGGAGATTGTCAGCATTAACGGAAATTATCTTGAGAAATATATTTCAGCAAACTACCAGCGACTTCTGTTCTTAACTTCCCGGTTGTCTAGAAGACTGACATTTAGTGGCGAAACACATTCACAGCCTTAATAAACACGCCAAGACACACGATAGGGCAAAGCTGCCCAGGTTTTTTTTTTTTTCAGTAGGAGCACGTGCATTAAGAAACTAGAATGTATTGTAAAGGATTAGTGATGTAAATCTTTTAATCTCGTGCATTTAATCAGTAAATTTCATTTTCTGTTCATCTCTGAGAACAGTTAGAAGTAATTTATTTTATGATATCAGCAATGACGGTCCGGTTCTAGGAAATCCAATTATCTACTAAGTATATGTATAAGTCTGTTGTTTATGTGTTGAAGCAATTTCTCTCTCCTGGGGCAACGAGTTCGCTCAGTTACAGAACGTAAAATCATAACGCTAATGAATCGCTTAGAATGACTGAGCTTATAACAATGGGGGTTGAAAACAAAAATATTTCTCTGTTGTAAAAATCCCCCTAGTGGAGAATTATCTTGAACTATAAAAGTTTTATTTTAGAATTTGCATGTGCGTGAACATAAAGTAAAATAGAAGTAATACAAGAGATCCGGAAAATCCTCCTGAAGTTATCAATATACGTGTTAGTGACACATCAAGTAAAATAGGAGTAATACAAGAGATCCGGAAAATCCTCCTTAAGTTATCAATATACGTGTTAGTGACACATCAAGTAAAATAGGAGTAATACATGAGATCCGGAAAATCCTCCTTAAGTTATCAATATACGTGTTAGTGACACATCAAATACAATAGGAGCAAAAAACGTTCTGGAACATCCTCAGTGATGAACCAAGATTGTTAGGCTAGACGTGGCCTAGTGGTTAGCGTGCCGTAGCGGAGTTATGAGAATAACTGTGAGATCCTATTATTTTTTGCTGTTGTACATCAATTCCACACTTATGAATATATCTAACTTTCTCAAACACAAAACATTTGAAAATTAACCGTGGAAGAAATTAAAACTTACTTTAAATAAGGAAAAGATATACGGTTTGTTTTTATTCCACACATCCTGTACCACTAGAGAGCGTTGACTGTCTTGTGAGCACGTGATTATCTTCTCATTCTCAGCAGTATAGATGAGTCGGTAGATGGATGTCTTGTGAACTCCTTCGAATACCCGGATGTTGACGTATTTTCTGTGGTATTTGTCTAAATCCTTCACAAGCGTAAGAAGAAATGGATATCAAGTATTGATGTATGTTAAGAATACATTTATAAAAACCTTATCATCTGTTCTTTTATTGGAAAACCTCGCTGCAGTAGACTAGTTTCGCCGAGTCCACGGCTCGTCGGTACTGCATTGCAAGTAAGTAAAATAGGCCTCGTATAGCTGTATGAAGTGTTTGGCTATTAGTGTTACAGGACTATGCGTGTATATTTTTTTTTATGAAGATTATAATGCACTTGTTTCGTCAGTTGGAAACATTCGCTGTTAACGATATTTTCGGCCGTAAAACCAAGCATGCTGCTTAGTTACGATAAGCCGGGAAGCCGCGAGTAGATGGCGTTGGTGTACCAAACTGTCCTCAAAGAACGTTTAATAAAGAGGTGGTACGAGTCAGAAATCAGAGTTTCGGGTGACGGTCGTGGCCCACGGGTGCCTACTGGTGGCAGAGCCGGTCCTCGGCAAAATTGTGGCCTGTGCGACCTTTGTATTCGGCACACAAGTGTATGGGGGCACACAAGTGCAAGATAACAACATATAATGTCAGGTTAGCCTATTTGTCTCGTTACTCAGAATTTCAGCGTGTTAAATATTATCTGATAAAAGTAGGCCTACCCGCTATCAGGGGCACGTGAAAATCAGCCTTACGAAACAAACCACTATCATAGACCCCCCCGTAAAACAGAAATTATTAATAAAACTTTATGAGTTTACGGATTTAAGACTTTCCCGGGAGGGGGCGCACGTCACGATCGTTTAAAAAATGAGAAGTTTTATAACCGTTCGATTTGTTTCGTCCGTTTCTAGTTGCTCTTCGGTAAGCTATAGAATTTATTGTTTTTATTCCGTGAGAGGGCGTAACGTTCTGTAGCGCTGCAGTAACATAACTCTTATTAAAAGTAACTTCAGATACATTTAGAAAATAGTCTGTACAATAAATTTTGTGGCAACAAATGTATGAAGTTAACATTAAAGAAACTCTCGACCATCTTGTTTTTATAGCTGTTGACTTTATGGGTAACCAAGGAAACGCTCATCATTCAACGTGAAACTGTTCGTTGCAAGTGTGCTTACATATCAGGCGGGTTTTATTCTTACTAATGTTTATGTGAAGGTCAGTTCGGGTTTTATTCTTACTAATGTTTATGTGAAGGTCAGTTCGGGTTTTATTCTTACTAATGTTTATGTGAAGGTCAGTTCGGGTTTTATTCTTACTAATGTTTATGTGAAGGTCAGTTCGGGTTTTATTCTTACTAATCTTTATGTGAAGGTCAGTTCGGGTTTTATTCTTACTTATCTTTATGTGAAGGTCAGTTCGGGTTTTATTCTTACTAATGTTTATGTGAAGGTCAGTTCGGGTTTTATTTTTACTAATGTTTATGTGAAGGTCAATTCGGGTTTTATTTTTACCGACGACCCCATCAAATTCTCTACATTGTCAGCCCGACCGACATGAAAGTATTCATTTTTTCTGCCACCCACCAAAAAAAACCAACTCTTTGCCCCCACCCCCCTAAATAAAATATCCTAGAAACGCCCGTAGGGAGGAGAAACTAATCCTCATCATTTCAGAAGACTATATTACTGAAATTCTCGCATCTTAAAGTAGTTAATAACAACAAGAACAACTTATTATATTCAATTTCAAAGAGTTTAGGTGATATTTATTTTATCTAGGGGGTAATCATAGAGCATTGGTTAAACTGCTGTTAGTTAATAGAAAACCATAAGGCTATGAGAAGTGAAAAATACCCCCCGATTACCGTTACGCCTCTAGTTACATGTTAGCGGTTAAAACGGCTTCTTGTGTACACTGGAATATAATGGTTTCCTTACCGAAAATAAAACTCGTTCCACACCTTCCATGTTTTGGCGATAAAATAATGATGTCATCGGCTGAAGAAAGAGGAAGATGGTAACGCTTCCGTTTTCACTTCCGGTCAGTAGTCTTGCTTCTGCGTTATCCTGAATTTAAGAGAACACCTGTAAAAAATTAGGTGGTGTATCCTGTTGCTGACCGCCCCTCTCCAGACTGAAGTGCCCACCTGATCGTCTGTATAAGATCGAACGATAGGGGGACAGGTGGACACACGTGTCAGTAAAGCTATAATCAGACTTTTAAGACAGTCACTACTGACTAGTATCGTTACAGAATTGAAACCGGTTTGAGAAGGTAACTTTAGTAGTCAGACAAGTATATTAATAAAACAGTCACTACTGACTAGTATCGTTACAGAATTGAAACCGGTTTGAGAAGGTAACTTTAGTAGTCAGACAAGTATATTAATAAAACAGTCACTACTGACTAGTATTGTTACAGAATTGAAACCGGTTTGAAAAGGTAACTTTAGTAGTCAGACAAGTATATTAATAAAACAGTCACTACTGACTAGTATTGTTACAGGACTGAAACCGGTATGAGAAGGTAACTTTAGTAGTTAGACAAGTATATTAGTAAGACAGTCACTACTGACTTGTATTGCTACAGGACTGAAACCGGTTTGAAGTAATTTTACTTTAAGCTCGAGTCTCCTATAAGTAATTATTGGTTATAGAATTATTAAAATGAAGCGCTAGTTATAAATAGTGTAGTTTCAAAACCTACCACTAGATGGATGGTTAAAGCTCTTAGCTTATATGTTATGCTATCCATAAAGACGACAGAGCAAAATTAAACATGTACATGTTTTGTTTACATGTTAACTCGGTCCACTCGTTTGACGGTTTATAACGCAAAATTTGGGGTTCAATTTCTGCCGTGGACACAGCATAGTTAGATCACTGTACTACCTCTATGTTTAAACAAACAAACTAATAAATCTTAACTTCACTCTTTCTCAGTTGTTCTCGTCCAACGTTTTCACGATACAGTATTATCAAGACTTATAATTTTCACGGGTTTAATAAAATAAGTGTCCGGATTAATCCTACTTCGATACTAATTGAGATAAATTAAAATATTATGATGTCAGTATCTACAGCTACAAAATACAATGACGTCTAACTAACAAACCATGATAAAAGAGTAAAGGCATCTTACGTGTTCTTTATCAAGTATTTCATATGTCTGTTGAATTGTTTGATATTAATTTATCCTGATGATAAAGGGTTTGATATTAATTTATCCTGATGATAAAGGTTTGATATTAATTTATCCTGATGATAAAGGGTTTGATATTAATTTATCCTGATGATAAAGGGTTTGATATTAATTTATCCTGATGATAAAGGGTTTGATATTCTCAAGAAATTAGTTGCCATATGTGGAATAAGACATGATAAAAGCGTCATATTCATTTGTGTTAAAAGACTGAGTGACAAATTCGGGATGATTACAGTATTTTCACCGTGTTTTCAAACACCACACAGTCGAAAACGATAACACTGGCAATTACTAATTTATTCTGCCACTAGATGACAGCACTGCTGCCATTGTTCCAACTAGTAAGTCTTCGGAAGAAAGCGTGTGAACAATGTTTAATATTGTGACGTTTGTTGAAAAGCTTCTATTGGTTAGAGCATATTATATGTACGTTAAAAGTCTGTAATATATATATATTGGTGGTAAGTTCCCTAAAATAAAACTCACCTCTTTCCGAAACCAGTAGTCCATACATAAAGGCACCTGTGGAAGACCTAGGTTAAAGAAAGACACACCCAGTTAAAAACATACATTAAAATTCATTGTTTTAAAGGTTCTAATAGATAGATGAATTACTTTACACGATCAACAAATCGAGTGGAAAAGTTAGAGAAGGAAAACATTGCTACGTCTCATCACGTAAACGTTGCTACATCTCACCTTGTAAACATTGCTACGTCTCATCACGTAAACGTTGCTACACCTCACCTTGTAAACATTGCTACGCCTCATCACGTAAACATTGCTACGTCTCATCACGTAAACGTTGCTACATCTCACCTTGTAAACATTGCTACGCCTCATCACGTAAACATTGCTACGTCTCATCACGTAAACGTTGCTACATCTCACCTTGTAAACATTGCTACGTCTCATCACGTAAACGTTGCTACATCTCACCTTGTAAACGTTGCTACGTCTCACCGTGTAAACATTGCTACGTCTCATCACGTAAACGTTGCTACATCTCACCTTGTAAACGTTGCTACGTCTCACCTTTTAAACGTTGCTCAGTCTCACCTTTTAAACGTTGCTACGTCTCACCTTGTAAACATTGCTACGTCTCACCGTATAAACGTTGCTACGTCTCACCGTATAAACATTGCTACGTCTCACCGTATAAACATTGCTACGTCTCACCTTGTAAACGTTGCTACGTCTCATCGTATAAACATTGCTAGGTCTCACCGTATAAACATTGCTACGTCTCACCGTATAAACATTGCTACGTCTCACCATGTAAACAGTGCTACGTCTCATCATGTAAACATTGCTACGTCTCACCGTATAAACATTACTACGTCTCACCGTATAAACATTGCTACGTCTCATCATGTAAACATTGCTACGTCTCACCGTATAAACATTGCTACATCTCACCGTGTAAACATTACTACGTCTCACCGTATAAACATTGCTACATCTCACCGTATAAACATTACTACGTCTCACCGTATAAACATTGCTACGTCTCACCGTATAAACGGAATACTTCCACATGTGTGCTGGCTGAAATATCTATAAAATGGATACAACTGCCCGTCGTCGACACAGCGAAGAACTTCGAGCTGCCCATATACACTACATCGGTAACAGAAGCAGGAGTGAAACGCTTTGAAGAAGCCGCTCCGTCTGTCGTGATTAGTCGATCTTCGATATCCAGATCGTACTGGTTCTGAAGTCTTAAGTTCTGTTCTGTAATTCCTACATTCCCCAGCTATGAAAGAGATAGCAGGTTACTGGAGTTATCCGGTTACAAGAACAGAACGTTACATGATCTAATAAACACATATTTACGTAGCTACAAAAACATTGGATAAAAAAAAAAGATGGATTACTTTGATTAACAGATTGAAACTTAGCCTAACTTCATTGTACAAGCCATACCCTTGACGTTCATTATTGAGATAAATAACATTTTTCTTGTTTTAATTCTGGTAAAATCATTTCTCTGTGTCTCTTTATTCTCTAATGAAATATTTGTTATTAAAAGTTAGCCGAAATTCTAACATACCTTGCCCACCACGATGTACACATTTGATGGTGGCGGTATTCGGATGATCTTGGCCACGTGTTCTTTCTGATGGGGAGAAGAAAAACCGATTAAAAATTGATGTGTTTACTTAGCAGACGGAGACATAAATTTAAAAGCCTTAGACTGTATAACAAAAAACAGATTCAGGGGAGAAAACAGGCGCGGGGTTGACCCTGTGGGGGAGCTCTCGGTTTCAGAGATGGTGGTCCGGGTTCTAATCCGTGCAATAAGACAAAATATTCTTTATAAGTGTGACAGTCAAACCCTTAGTTTGGATGGTGGGTGCTGCTGACCGTTTGCCTTCCCTCTGGCTAGTAGTTTCAAACTAGAGAAGATGACAGATAGCCTCAGTAACATTGTCATTAATACAAATACAGAAACAATAAGACAAAATATTCGTTATAAGTGTGACAGTCAAACCCTTAGTTTGGATGGTGGGTGCTGCTGTCCGTTTGCCTTCCCTCTGGCTAGTAGTTTCAAACTAGAGAAGATGACAGGTAGCCTCAGTAACACTGTCATTAATACAAATACAGAAACCTAAAGTCACTCCTAAGAACATTTCTTGCCTATTGTTAAACAGTATTTCTTGCTAGTTGCGAAGACATTATTTAACGCTAGTCGCTTAGACGATATTTCTTGCCTATTGTTAAACAGTATTTCTTGCTAGTTGCGAAACATTATTTAACGCTAGTCGCTTAACGATATTTCTTGCCTATTGTTAAACAGTATTTCTTGCTAGTTGCGAGACATTATTTAACGCTAGTCGCTAGACGATATTTCTTGCCTATTGTTAAACAGTATTCCTTGCTAGTTGCGAAACATTATTTAACGCTAGTCGCTTGACGATATTTCTTGCCTATTGTTAAACAGTATTTCTTGCTAGTTGCGAAACATTATTTAACGCTAGTCGC